TTTTGCAAGTGAAATTTATTCTATCTTAAATTTAAATTTAAAAATAATAATTTTTTAATAAATCATTATGAAATGTGTTGAATGAAAAAATTTACCAATCATTGTCCATAAATAATTCAGCGTTCTCAGAAATTAAGTGGAAGCAGCGTATGCTACAAGCGGATGACCATATATGAATCAATTCAACAATGAAGATAATTGGCATAAGAGTTTTTGTTTAGTTAGCAAGTTGCTTAGTTCTCTATCTTATTAATTAAGATTTAATTTCTTAAGTTTTTAGATATGAACGATCAAGAGTGTTCCTAAACTTTCACATCTCAAAATTAATTTTTTTTAAAGTAATTTTAAAAGCACATTCTCATATTATCCTGATGCATTTAAGAGGAAATTAATTTTCTTAAATATTTGTTCTAAGTCTTAAATTGGATTAGACCTACAAAATGACATTAACTTATTAGTGGATCTAACCTTTGAAGTTAAATAGTAAAACAAGAAAATAATTTTTCATAAATGTCTTAATTTCAATATAGACAGTAATTGATACATTCTATATTTCAATATTCGGTTCAACACCCTCCGGTTTAGTCATTAAAAAATTACTATTTTTTAATTTGAAATTAAAAACAGACAAATATAATGATACAATCATATACATAAGATTTTGAAATCGGTTGAATTAACTGTATTTATATTATATTTTTAATAATTAAACCGAAAAGTATTAAATCGAATGTTGAATTGAAAAGTGTACCAAACATTTCCCTTTCAATATAGATAACTTATTTTTTTATCAAACCCTAATTCCGAGGTAGGTAACTTATTTTTAATTATACTAGAGAGGCATTAATCATGAAGTGCACACAAGTTGGTCTAAAAATACATTGAAACACTAACAAAATAAAAATAATAACGAAGGTCTTTGGCTGACCCTCATTGCTGCCTATATATATAATGCATAACACAACCCTGTCTCTGCTTATAAAATCGAAAAACACAAGATTCAGGGCACAAAATTATGCAGATGAGATTGGTGTTCTGGATGGTGGTGATGATGGTCATGTTAACATCTTCTACCATCACGGTAATTTCGAATGTTTCTTTAGAAAACTGCACACGAACATGTGGAAACGTTAGTGTACCTTACCCTTTTGGATTTGGCCATCCTAAATGCGCCATAAACTCCTCCTTCCTGCTTCAATGCAACCAGAGCGGCCTCTTCTTTAGCGGCGGCGGCCTCTTCCTTGGTGGCGGCAACGTCATTCAAATTGACAACATATCGTTGGAAGACGGTACCATCACCCCATACATTCCCGCCGCTGCTTCCGATTGCTACAACGACTCGAAAGAAGTGTACTCCAATTACTATTTTCTCATGCTAGATGGATGGCCCTTGACTATCTCGCCCACACGCAACAAGTTGATTGCATTAGGCTGCGACGCCCTGGTCACAATGAGCGACCCAGAGGGAAGGTTCGGAAGTGGGTGCCTCTCCATCTGCCATGACCGTGCCGACATAAGAAATGACGATTCATGCTCCGGTTTCGGATGCTGCCAGACCTCCGTCCCCAAGCACCTCAACCGACTGAACGTTACGGTTCGCAGTTTTTCTAATTACCAAGATGTTTGGCATTTCAACCCCTGCAGTTATGCTTTTGTGGTTGCGAATTCTTTCAATATATGGGAAATTAACTTCCTTGGTCCAAGAAGAACTATTCCGCCGCTGCCTGTGGTGTTTGAATGGGCTGTCGGAGATCAGCGGGGCTGCCAAGATATTTGCAGCCTAAATGCTCTTACTCGGACACCGGTGGTGGATTTCGCTGTTCGTGCAGGCCAGGGTTCGCTGGAAATCCCTATCTCCCACAAGGATGTCAGGGTACTACTTACAATTAATCTTTTCTACATATTATTTTTCTGAATAGAGTTTCATCCATCCATGGAATGTTCTAATTAATTTAAGGTTAATACTCCACCAGACGTTGATGAGTGCAAAGAACCACACAAGTATCCTTGCCCAGGAACTTGCCTGAATACAATCGGATCCTACACTTGTGAAAACAAAACAAACAAAACATCCTGGCCTATCATTTTGGGTAAGACCCTTATCCTACGGCTTTTATGAAAAAAAAAATGTACATGAATGACTTGAAAAGTTTTAAATACCTTAATAAATTAATATTTAAAGAGATTTATTAAAAATATTTAAATAATTATATATATATGCACTTGGGCTTTCGGACCCAATGACGTCAGGCCAGTATAAGTACATTCCCCCAACCTAGGGCAACGGTTTGAATCCGACCCCTTACAAATTTGTTCAAAAAAAAATTATATATATATTTTGAACTTATTTTTCTTACGAATTGACTTGAAAAGTACATTTTTATTTGTTTCATTTTGTTTTTCTTTGCACTGGCAACTATTTAAACCAAACATTCGTACCATTGTAATTTTTCATATATTTTATGACCATTTCTACAAAATGATAGTCTTATTTCTTAAATTTGTCCACTCCTATCTCAAATTTTGAATTTAAACTTCTTTTAATTTAAGTATTAAGTTCTTATAAGTTAGAACACTATACTTTAAGGGCAGTAATGTTTAAATATAAATGTGAATTTCTTGACAAAGTCATTTATTCTCCTTAATATTTATAGGAATCAGTCTTGGGTTTGGAGTAGTTTTTTTACTTATTGGTGCATGGTGGTTGTACAAAATGTTAAAGAAGAGAAGGAACTTGAAGCTTCGAGGCAATTTTTCAAACAAAATGGAGGCTTATTATTGCAGCAACAAATGTCTTCAACTGAAGGTAATGTTGAAAAGACCAAAATATTTAGTATCAAGGAGTTGCAATGGGCAACTGATAATTTCAACAACAATAGAATACTTGGTCAAGGAGGCCAAGTCACTGTTTATAAAGGAATATTGGTTGATGGAAGCATTGTTGTAGTTAAAAAGTCCAAAGTACTAGATAAAGAGAAAGTTAAAGAGTTCATTAATGAGGTGGTCATTCTTATACAGATTAACCATAGAAACATTGTTAAGTTTTTTTTTTTTTTTTTGCACAGCAAAAGGAAT